TGTGTGTGTGTGTGTGTGTGTGTGTGTGTGTGTGTGCATGAGAGACTATTTCCATGCTTCTTACCAGTACTTTTATTGTCTGTTTGAGTTAAATGAGGTTAAATCATGTTTCCCTTCAGGCTGTGGAGCACACGTTTCACAGGCGTTCTATGGTTGTAGCCGACTCTGTGTCTCACATCACTCAGCAGCTGCAGTCACAGGCCCTGAATGCCATCGGCACAGCCAAGGTAAACACAAGACCAAAAATATTGTATTGGAAATTTGTCTTTTGTGTATGTATAATTGCATGAGCAGACATGTATGAGGAGGACTGACCAAATGGTTGACCAAATTGTTTATCTATAAGGGCAACTTTAGGGTTTACGATCATGGCTTAAGAGACTTAAATTTTATGGCCTCGAGAAACCACAACTTTATGGTATCTCTTGGTATTTCTGATTGGTATCTCACACTTAGGGTCTCACAGGGGGCTCATCCACAGAACATGTAAACAAAAGGACAGGATGTCTCCTCCACTGAGTGATACTATAGGAGGGTAATAAAAATCTTTGCACTCCTAATGGGAGGGGAATGTGAGTTTTAAGAACCCAGATTCTCCTATGGTCTTTGCTCATTTGTGCACGTCATTGAGGTGATGTGAGTTCATCTGCAGATGCTGAATTAAATTTACAGAAAGAAGTGTTTGACTTTGTGCTTGTTTCACAGAAATTGCCACCACAATATTAATTCAAATGCTTAGTATTTACAGTAGGAGCAGTGACATCAGGGACAAGTTTATATAGTTTCTTTGTTCATTTTATGTGACACTGAATGTGTTTACCGCCCTAAAGAAAAGGGTGATCTCGGACAAGAAGTACAGTGAGCAGCGACTGGATGTGCTGTCGTCTTTGGTGCTGGCCGAAAATGCCCTCAGCGGACCCAGCACGAAAGAGCGCCGCCTCGTGGTGTCTCTGGCTCTGTGCGTCGGCACTCAGCTGGTACGTCGGGGAAATACAAATGGTTAATGGGATTCAGACACTTCTGTTTCATTCTTATTTCATTTGACTCTCAGCTTGACACTGAAATCAATCACTTGCTTCCATCCAGAAAACGTTCAAAGACGAGGAACTGCTTCCACTGCAGCTTGTGCTGAAGAAGCTGGATCTGATTAGTGAGCTGCGTGAGAGGTGTGTGTCTCTCCTCTTCTTTTGATTAGCAACAAAGTTTCAAGGGCTGGAGTTATAATTGATGACGAAATCTGTGTCAGGGAAGAAAACTTGGAGAAGTTTAGATGCTGCTTGGTGTTGGGGCAATGTCACAGACGGCTTCGACGTCTTTCTGAAATAGAACGACAGAGTTCTGATCTGATCTCAGTGGCTCACAGTCAGACGGCTAAAACCAAATCATTTACAGCCAGACATCTCAAATACACATTAATCACTTTGGCAGCTGACAAACCATTATCTGTCAAAGCTAAACTTAAACTGACATCTGTTCTTTCATGAAGGGCAGTGTGAGCGTATCAGAAATGTGTTTTCATGATGCAATTTGATGGTTTTTTTGACGTACTGTAAGGAATTTGTATTTTTTGTTCCTCAGGGTCAAGATACAGTGTGACTGTAGTTTCCTTTACTGGCACCGAGCTGTGTTTCCCATCTACTTAGATGACGTATATGACAATGCGGTGGACGCAGCAAGAATACATGTAGGCTGACGATTATGTTGAAACATTGTACATGGAAATTTAAGCAAATTGTGTTCTCCTTGTTTTGATTTTCTTGTGATCGTCACCTCTTCTTCTGTTCCTTGTTCTGTTATCGTCTGTCATGACGTCTGTGTTTGGCTGGAGCAGTACATGTTTAGTGCGCTGAGGGACAGTGTGCCGTCCATGTTACATGCCAAACACATGGAGTCATGTGACCAGCTACTGGAGAGCTATGACAAGGAGATCATGGATGTTTTCAACGAGGTGAGAGCAGACAAAATGTTGCATAAAGAGGAAATGTACACGAATTAAAACATCACATCACGGTGTTGATTTAGAAGTTTGTGTTTCAACATAGAAGTTGAGGATGTGATTGTATATATGTGGACTTTGTTGTGCCGTAGCTAAAGTTATGTTTTTGGTTTGTCTGTACAAACATCTGTCTGTGCCAGAACATTCACTTGGATACAAGAATTAACTTAATTTGGAGGTCAGAGCTCTTCACAAAACCTTCTTTCTGCCAACTTCAAAAATTCAATTATAAATATTGACAGAAATGAACACAAATGTCTTTAGGGATGAAATAATAATGTGAATTTAATTTACATCCAAATGGAAAAAGATAAGGTCACATTGACATCAAACTCTGCTCAGTTTTTTCTGGATATAATTTATTCAACACTATAACTCAGGATAACAACAAGGTGGTTATTGTTTTATTTTTCTCATGTAGCACCTACTGGACAAGCTATGTAAGGAGATAGAGAAGGACCTGCGTCTCTCCGTCCACACTCACCTGAAGCTGGACGACAGGAACCCTTTCAAAGTTGGCATGAAGGATCTGGCTCACTTCTTCTCCCTTAAACCCATTCGATTCTTCAACCGCTTTATTCATATCAAAGGTGCTGGGAAAAAAAGAGTGCAGTGTGTGTTGTGTAACGCTGACACCTGCTGGAAAGCTAACACAGTGTTGACATTGCAGCTTATGTGACCCACTACCTGGACAAAACGTTCTACAACCTGACCACCGTGGCTCTGCATGACTGGGCCACCTACAGTGAGATGAGAAACCTCGCCACGCAGCGTTACGGCCTCACAATGACAGAGGCTCACCTGCCCAGCCAGACACTGGAACAGGTCTGTGTGATTGCACTTACACATCAATGAAGAGTTAAAATCCCTCTTATCAAGTGTGGGCTGGTTATTTATCAGACTTGGGAAATTGTTTTATTATAGAAGTGTAGTCGATAAATGGATGATTGACTGTATCCTCTGTGTCTCTCAGGGTTTAGACGTTCTGGAGATAATGAGGAACATTCATGTTTTTGTCTCACGTTACCTTTATAACCTCAACAACCAGGTGAGAGTCTGAGCCTCCAGGTTCCTCTTCAGTACGTTGAACATAGTGGATCCCGAGTCTTAAATTGAATCCTCTATCTCCAACAGATCTTCATAGAGAAGGCAAGTAACAACAAGCACTTGAACACCATCAACATCCGCCACATTGCCAACTCCATCCGAACCCACGGCACCGGCATCATGAACACCACGGTAAGTCCCCAGGAGACGCAGAGGAGTTTCCACAGGAATTTGTTTTTAATCTCACCTGTTGCACATCTCTGCTTTCATCAGGTGAATTTCACCTACCAGTTCCTGCGTAAGAAGTTTTACATCTTCAGCCAGTTCATGTACGACGAACACATCAAGTCCAGACTCATCAAGGACATCCGCTTCTTCAGAGAGACAAAGGACCAGTCTGATCAGAAGGTGAGAGACGCCCCGCGGTCTTTTCAAAGTTCATCACTTTATTACATCAGTTACACTAACAAAGCAAAATGCTTTACTCCAGTCAGAAGGTTGTAACGCCAGTAAATGATCATAATGCGTGAGAGCTGAGGAACCACGCCTGTGATTAAGAGGAAACTAATCAACCATATAGGAGGTTAATGTGTCACATCAGTAAATCAATTCTCTGGAACAAGATCTAGATTTTCTGTTCTTGGAACCAGTTAGATTCCAGGAATAACTGTGAAGTCTGATTTAAAAATTCCTTTTTTTATTATATCACCAGACACAATGACATCTTCCCCCCCAGCTGTTGTGTAACTGTTTGTTTGTGTGTCAGTATCCGTTTGAGCGAGCAGAGAAGTTCAACCGTGGCATCAGGAAGCTGGGCATCAGTCCTGATGGGCAGAGCTACCTGGACCAGTTCCGACAGCTCATCAGCCAGATCGGTGAGAAAATCCCATTCAACTTGTCTCTGCACATAATCATAGAAGTTAGGGGTGTTCATCATTAACCATTACATCACAATAAGGATTTTAACGGATTAAGGTCAAATCTAATAAAGAAATCCTTGGACATGGATATCGTCTGAGCAAATATCGGCCATCACCAATTTTACCCTGTGTTTCTCTCAGGTAACGCTATGGGCTATGTTCGTATGATCCGTTCTGGAGGTCTCCACTGTTGCAGCAGTGCTATCAGGTGAGAAGTGCAGTAGTGAGAGTTTACAAGTATTCCTAGTTTCTTTTTGACATTTCTCTCTATAATGTTTTATGTCTGTGTCATTTCCAGGTTTGTTCCTGACCTGGAGGACATTGTGAACTTTGAGGAGCTGGTGAAGGAGGAGGGACTTTCAGAGGAGACTCTACGAGCTGCCAGGTGAGTAAAACTTCAAAATATCCTTTAAGTGTTGTCTGTAGATTATTCATGATTATCGTTCCAGCTCCAGTGGATGTAAACTGCGCGACGTTATGTACAATCTTCTGCACAGACGGTTTATTATAAGATATCTGAGCTGTATTTCAATTTTTAAACCTCAAGGTGGCACCACAGTTACAAAAATGTGAAAGAAACATCATCTGCTATTTGGACGGTTCATCTTAAACCCTGTGTCTTTATTCCCAGTGTCTTAGATTCGGTGTTGGGTGATCTGACCAGCAACTCTGCCGAGGGGACGGAGTACTTCAAGATGCTGGTGGCGGTGTTTGCGCCTGAGTTCCGCAGCGCCAAGAATATGCACCTGAGGAACTTCTACATGATTGTACCCCCACTGGTCAGTACTGAGTCAGCTTTGTTCTCTTGCCTCTGCACCAGCAACAGTCCGTGGCTGGACGTATCGTGTATTCAGGTCGTTCTTCCACCTGTCCCATTTTTTTAAAACATGATATCTCAAGATTACCACAAATTGATTACAATTTGGTGGGACAGGAAGGACACTGTGACCTTTATTAGACATGTTTTTGGTCTCTTGAAAATATATTAAGTCTGCCTTTTGGGAATTATCAGTTTTCACTTGGACCCAAAGATAAACTGATTAGATTTCATTGTTCAAAGGTCACAGTGACCTCATGTTATTCAGAAAAAAAATAATGTAGACTGAAACTGCACTGAATGGCGGAGGCATAAAACCGCAGGATGGTAATTCTAATTCTTCTGATTAAGACATGCAGCACTTTGAACAACTGATGCACAACAAATCTCTCTTGTAGACCGTGAATTTCGTGGAACACTCGATCAGCTGCAAAGAAAAACTCAACAAGAAAAACAAAAGTGGAGCAGCTTTCACAGATGACGGCTTTGCTATGGGTAATAAATCACATTTCACTGAGACAGCTTTATGCTTAACTGCCTCAGTCCGGGGTCATAACGGTCTGTGACTCGCTCTCTCAGGTGTGGCGTACATCCTGAAGCTGCTGGACCAGTACCTGGAGTTCGACTCTCTGCACTGGTTCCAGGCCGTCAGAGACAAGTACAAGAAAGAGATGAACGCGATGGTGAAGGAGCAGAATGTGCAGTCTGCCAGTCAGGATGAAAAACTGCTGCAAACTATGAACCTCACCCAGAAGAGGCTTGACATCTACCTGCAGGTGGAGTCATGAGTTATAAAGCAACAAGGAAATCCACAAAGAAGCTGCAGTGATGATTGTCAGTGTTGTGATCATGTGTGTGGGATGTTTCACACTGATCTCGTTGTCTTGCTCTCTCTCTCTCTCTCTCTCTCTCTCTCTCTCTCTCTCTCTCTCTCTCTCTCTCTCTCTCTACAGGAGTTTGAACTGCTCCACTTCTCCTTGAGCAGCGCCAGAATCTTCTTCAGAGCGGACAAGACCGCGGCCGAAGAGACTCAGGAGAAGAAGGATAAAGGTTGGGTGGTGTTGCGATGATTAATGAAGCCTTAAATTATGCACACCCTGTTACATGGGCTTTTTGTAGAGGATTTATTTTAAAAAATGAGTACCATGATTAATGAATGAGGAGGTCTGTGCCTTCATCCTCCTTTAGATTTCACGAGTAACTTTGACCATTTTCTCCACCAGAAGAAGCTGCCAAAGCAGGAGACGGCTCCAACACCACTGAACCAGCCTCAAAGTGAAGCCGGCGGACGATGTAGTCGTGTTGGATTGTGAGAGTCTGAGAGGACTGTAAAATAACCAGAGCGTGCACCAGTCGAGCAGAAGAGAGAGAAGATCTCAGAGCTTCACTGGAATGTGTGTGTGTGGTTCAGGGATTAGAGACTTGAAACAACAGGTGATGTTTGTCAGACTCTTTGTGTCCCATGACAAAGTGATTATCTTCATCAGAGAATGAATGTTTTTCTTCAAGTGCTACGGCAGGAAGTGTCTGTTTCTTTGTTTCCATTTTACAGAAACAACAGAGTACCGCCCCAAATCTGTCGGCTTCTAATAGATTCACTTTGAATTCGTTAGCATTTAAACAAGCAAGTGCAGTTTGAAAGGTGAGGCAGTGAGACAAGCGTGAGATAAGAGGCGAATCAGTTCCAGTGCTACGCAGCCTTTTTGCGACTTTTACACTTGAAGAACTAGATTCTTTTTTACTACAGTAGAAGCCTCAGCTGCTCTGTGCCCAGCGCTGACCAGAGGAGTTCAATCATCGGCTAATTTGCATGTGATTTCATTTCAGTGCTGTTGTGATTGTTAGTGGCCTTCGATGGCAGCTCTGTGCGCTGTAGCACACGGCCGAGGGCTCTTTAGAATGTTAAACCCTTTATTGTTAGTGTGCCATATTTCTCTACTACTTCTTTTTGTTAATTTTATACATCGTATGAACTAAGGTGTGTAAGCTCCTTTTCTAAACTAAGGATAATCCTAAACCGACACATGTCAACATCTGCACATCAGATTCTTGATCTGAGTGTTTATTTCTCTGCAGCACATTTATATTTTATATGTCAACATGTGGAAGTGAGGCCAGTTTGGTCAAAGATTACATTCCATGAATTAACCTGCTTGAAAAGTTCCTGAGGACTAATAAAACTTGCACTTTCATTAGACTTTACTGTGTCGGTCTTGACTTTGTGCTGCAGAGTGAAGGTCTCGCTGCTCAGAAAACCAGCTGAATGTCTCCTTGTGAGCATTTAGCCTGTTGTACTACGTAGAGAAAATGATTTTACTTGTGAATGTCCGCGTAACATTTCTGTCTGCAAATTTGTACAAAACAAATAAAACTCTGCAGGAGAAAGGTTGAATTGAATCATTGAGCTGAAAAAAACAACACACAGTGGTTCAAGAAAGCCTTTTCTGCTTTAATACAAAGAAAAGAAGCTTTTCACTTCAGAAAATACAAGATTGGTCTGATTTTTTTTTTTCTCCTTAAATTGTCGGTTTTTTTTCCGTTTCTTATGAAATGCTGTTCACCGCTGCTCAAACAGCTTTAATCGAAATACATCCCTTCTTTTTTTTTTTGCTTTGGACTTGATCGGTGTTTACTTTTCTTGGTTTTTTTTGGGTGAGAATCAGGCCTTTCCTTGAATGACATTTTAATTTTGTATCATTTTTGTTGTAAGTGCCCACAGTGCCATGTGACACCCTGTCCAGCAGATTCAGAAATGTCCTGTTGCGTCCACATATTGCATCCATGCTCACCTCATAAAAACGAGGTACAAGGCAGGGCAAAATTTCTTCCAAAATAGATGTCATATATATATATACATACATATATATATATATATAGCAATCATATATACACATTCATACATACATATACTAATTTATGTGATGTAAAGAAACAAAAATGTACACATTTCTTACAAAATTGTAACAAAGACTGGAAAGTGTTTGCTCTGGAGCAACGTTGTGTAGCCATTTAGCCTCTGCGAGGGTTTGTCCACGTTTGCAGATGCCAAAGTCTTCTCCCAGATTTGTGTCCAAGTTCAACTGGCACAGAATTCACAGAGAGACGGACAGAGTGTGAGACGGAAACAAATCTGAGTTGCAGAAACGAGGTTAAAGAAATCGAAGTTAATGGAAGGAAGGAAAAGAAAAAAGGGGAAATGAAAAGTGATGCATGTGGAAAAGTTGCATGACACCCCCCCCCCCTTGAGCCAAAACAAAAAAAAAATGGAGAAAGGAAAAAAGAGGGAGTGTTCACATAAAAAAGCACAAACAAATTTTGTGTTCTTTTATTACTAAATATAGTGCAACAATAAACATTGCATTTCTTTCACCCTTTCACTTGAGTCTGACGAAGTTAACTTTGCTTTCCCCGCTCTTTTCTCTGTTCTTAACACTTGCTGTAAATATGAGGCGTTAACCCTTGTTCTGTCACTGTCCTGTGCCACAAGGTCAGTCCTCCTCTCCGGGAGAAAAACAGGCTTCAGATTCAGAGACGTAAACATAACACAGACCCTGCTCGAAACAAGACAAAAAAAACAACAGGATGAACATAAAGAATAAAAACAGAACAAGTGTTGGTGTTTTGGGCAGCATGTAAATTTTGGAAAGGCAGGGCAGTTTTGATGGTGGCGATGACCCCGGCAGTCATTGAGCCAATCCTCGAGGAATAAAAACCAGGCTGTGAGAACCCCCCCTGCACGACAACGCTGTGCGCGGGAGCAGCTGCCGCCTTTGGACTGGTCGGGCCTTAGAAGGCCTGCTGGGCTGGGTTGTAGTTGAACGTTGTTGGCACGTGAGGCCTCTCTTCCAGCTTGTCGTACTCCAGATGAAACTCCTTCAGATGCAGACACAGTTTCAACGATGTGAAATTAAAGCCAGTCACAGAGGAAACTTCTCCAGATGTGGAGAGATTCTTACCTTGGCTACTTTCCTCCAGTTAAGACAATCAAAAAAGTAGTAGGTGCCCCTCTCATAGTTGTTGGTCTTCAGTGTAGGCTCCATGCCAGGCGCCCTTGTTATCCAAACCCGCTCTTCTTTGTGGTACCTCCAGTCACGGTTAAAGCTGCAGAGTGAGGTTATGAAAGAGGAACACGTGAAGAAACCCTGTGAGCTTCTCTCTAAACAGACAATAACCACATGGAGACCATATTTCTGCACCACTCCCCAGGAAAAGGGTGAAATACTCACAGCTCTACTGCCGCCAAAAGCTGTAGCAGGTCTCCACCGTTCATGTAGTACAGGTAGAACAACAGGTCTTCACCATATCGAGCCAGTTTGATTGCAGCCAACTAGAAGCAAAGAACAAGAAGTTAGTTTTTCCCACTCATAATATACATCTTGAAAACTGCAGCAAACTATTGTGGCCCTGCTTTACCTTGTCCCTGATGTGGATATTGGTTAAATACTCAGAGGGAACGTGGAAGTCTGAGAAGACAAGAACACACATAAGTTAGCAGATCTCAGAAGAGTCATTTTGACACATGTAGCCTCACATTAACGGAGTGTTAATGTCTTACCGATGTCTTGAGGTCGACAAGGTGCTGAGGCCCACGGCGAGGCGAACTTGGGGTACAAGTTTCTGTCAGAGAATAAAGTTGCAGTAAGTTTTCGTCACTTATACAAACAGAAAATGCCATTGTAACCCTGGTTACCATATCCGTCTGCAGTATTTCCTATAACTTTTTTTTTTTTAAACCACCCGATACAAATGGAAATATGTCAGGGCAGCCGTCTTACTCTGGTGAGTTTAAGTTGAGTCCCAGTGTCGTGAGGTCGCTCCCCAGCGCCAGATGGACCATCCCAGGATCAGTCTCTGCCGCCCGGATAAACGTCAGCAGGCCGATCATGCCGAATTGGTCCGTCACCATTCCTGAGGGAATGTTCGTCACCCGACCTGCAGCGGCAGGACACACTCAGAGTTCAGCAAAAACACTGAAGCTGTGATCTACAGTTAATACTACGAGTCAATACATTACCTCCATATTTCTAAACCACACTTTGTGCACGCATTGGAGGGCAAACCAAGCCAATTATTTATTTAATACGTTATGGTCACAGACAGGTTCACGTAAAGATTTAATGCTGGTCTGTATCATAGTAAACATAATCTTTTGGTTTCCTAAATGTCCCTTAGCCAAAAATGATCTAAACCCAAAATACAGGGTAGAGAGCCCAACTGCCTCACCCAAGTTGTGCGATTAAGAAGGGATGTCTCAGTGGAATTGGAGCGATACGATTGGCTGAGAGGTCTCACCATCGGGCAACACCTGGATCCCTTTCTTCTGGTTGTTGTTCTGTGCTGAGGCCGTCTTGTCTCCGGGGAACTTGGGCCCGTCTGCATTGGATGTGCTCTTGCTTGTAGAGTTCAAGTTCTAAAGAACAAAAAGCGAGTTTGAAGTATTTAATTTATGATAAATAATTCTCTTAGATGTGCAACCTGGATGAAAAACAGCCGGAGTAAAGTCATCAGTCGCTCACACTCACAGTTTTGCTGTCGTCATTGTTCAACGTGGGGTCCTTGTAGTTTGGGCCAGGCAGTGCAGGGAAGTCCTCGTTATGGATGGAGAAATCCTGTGTCTGTTCTGTTGATGGCTTTGTCACCATGCCAACTTGATGATGATGATGATGATGATGATGATGATGATGATGATGATGATGAACACAGTGAAGTACAGATTATACAGGTTGTAATATAAATAACACACTTTCAACGGAATTCCTACAATTCTTTCTACAATCTTTCATGAAACAAACCTTTGACTATGAATTCAAGAAGTTAGTCATTTCCTCTTCTCTGGGAACCTACTGCCTTTGTCTCAATGTGTGTAAAAATAAGACACTTCACTCAGTCTAATGGCCTACCATAGGGAGCCCTTCCAGCCAGAGGGTTGAGCACCGGTGTTGGGTTTCCAGTCCCTTCTCTTCGACTCCTGTCTGCTAACGCAGGGAAGTCTGACAGATCCAGTCCCGTTAGATTTTCACTCCCATCTGCACCACGACGAATGATGAACAATTCAGTATTTATTATCATATCTTCATTCATATAATTCAAGATTTAAAAATGATGAAGCGCTTTCTTAATATTCTATATCAGCACAGATGCATTTCAGGAGTGTTTCTATAAAACCCACTCATAATGAAAACTATGTTGACCGACCCAGGTTACACATTCTAACCTGTGCCATTGAAGATGTTGCTTGATAACGAGTTGTTCATCCCAAAACCCTGGTTGCGGTTCATACCGAATCCTGACATACTGCAGAGAGAGAGCGAAACCAAAACAAAAAGATGACATCGGCTTCAAAACATTCACGTCAAATAAAAATACACCAAACTTATTGTGGATAACAAGTGTTGAGCTTTGTTTACCTGTTTATGGTGAAGGGCTGACGTGCTGGCTGCTGTTTGGGCATACAGATGATACTGGGTGAGCTGCGGTTGGGGCTGCCCAGCCCCGAGCTGCCCATACTATTGGTCCTGCCGCTCATCCCAATGCTTTGACTGACCTGAGAGTGGTTCAGCATGTTCCTCGTGTTCATTGGCAACGTCCCCCTGTAAACACATGATCATATCTGATTTAATTTTTGCTCATTTCAGGGCAAACTTGTGCAATATACCTAAAATATATACATATACTTCCATCTTCATGATCTAAGTGAGTTAAGTTTTGAGTTTGTTCTGAGATCCATACTTTTGACATGATTATTGTGAAGGTAGTTTAAGAGGTTAGAGGTGTTTGAGCCTTTTTTTATTGAAACTTAACGTCCACAAACCACAACTATGAGGCAGAAGTAGCCTCTCTTTTAGGTCCTAGCGCCTCATTTTGTCGTGGCTGGTTGGAGTCCTTCTTTTCCTCAGAATGACTGTTCTGTGTTAAATTCACTCTCCTCAATGTTTGTCTGTGTTGCCTTGATGCAGATTCCCTGCCTGCATCACTGCCGTGAGTTAGGAAGGCAGAGTGCCGTCCAAATGAGCACCTTCATACACACCTGCTTGGTGACGGAGGGGTATGGAGGGACATGGTGGAGACTCCTGTTGTGGGAGTGATATGACTTGTTAGCTGCGTGCCTTGCGTTAGATTTCGGTTTAACTGAGGTGTGCTGTTCCCCATGCCCCTGACTGAAAAGCCCAGTGCACCTGCAGAAAGACAGAAAGATTCACAGAAACTGTCAGGCAACCACAAGATATCTGTATAAACAATATCTGGGAAATTTCATTCCAACTGTTAGTAACTCTTGTCTTACTTGTTAAAATGCCTCTTAAAATATTGTTCATATAAGCTTCAGGCTTCAAGTAATTCACAACAAACAGAGAATGTGTTCTGACTCTAGGTTTGTGACAAAACTGTGGTGATTGTCTATATTTAAAACAAACTCACTTTGTGGACCATACAAACTTGCACCGAGCTGCGACAGCTGACCTGACGACGATGGTGAGGGAGAGGAGAGCATCTGAAGGAAAAACATTTGAGGAGAGGACAGAGTAAGACGACTGGAAAACTGCTCCTCTGGTGATAACTCAAGAACTTACAAAACATGTGCAGAGCTGCAGACAAAACTCACATCTTTGTCCGATCGATGTGGGAACATCGACGGCTGATTGTAGTACATGCTTTCATCAGAGAAGTCGTTATCGACAACCTCGACGAACTCGACAAATTTCTTTCTAGCACCAAACATGCCTTTTGTCACCTGGAGAGAGAGAGAGAGAGAGAGAGAATAGTGTTGATATTAAAAATGCACTGAGGAAGATGTCAGGGAAGTAATTCACTAAACTAATACTTAAAATATATCTAATCAAAAACGCATTAGACAAGAGATGTCCTGACATCAGCATCGCAAATGCCTCAGACACTGCTGAAAATGTCAGGGACGGACAACAGCGAGTAGACAAATCTCTGGACTGATCTAATCCTGTGTCTTTAAAGTATATTACTTTCACCCAGATAACGCTGCAGTTTCCTTTTCCTGGAAATCACTTTTTCTTCACCTTTAGAGCAGCGAAAGAAGTGGTGATTTCCTGTGAAGCAGCCTCCGACAGATCTCGCTAAAACGTCAGTAATGTTGGCAATACACCGTAAAGTACCACAAGTAAAAAGGCCACGTGTACTGTATGCACAACACAACTGCAACACACGATGACAGCCATCATCACTGACATGCAGCTGTTGAACTATAGCATATAGGTTGTTATTTTCTAAATGCACTAATGGCTGATTTCCTGTATCGTCCGATCGTCGTGTCAGGAAGGAAACAATGGAACTGAACATCTCCAACACTGATTTCTTCAAACCTGAATGTTCCCAATACTTTGAACGACGCAAGTTTCACCACACTAGGTTAAAACATCTTCTAATGTCCATTAGCTCTTCACTGACAATACAAAGACATAATGTTAAATTCACTTTTTATACACAGGACACTAGTTTCCATGAGTGCAAGTAAACTCCACGTGCATTTGTTATTCTCGTTTCTACGTAAATACACAGAGACATGTTTGGCATCAAATCGTTGTTGAGAGAAAGTTTTGAACAGTTGTGTGTCTGGTTTCAATGAGAACAAGATGATGAACTTCCATTTACAAAATGAAGTTTTGTGTTTTCTTACAGCCCGGCTAACAGGTAAGTAGCTTCTTGTAGCTCTTGAACGAGTTTTAGGTTTAATTGATGCACATTTAGCTAATTTGACACAGTTGAGAGAGAGAAGGGGCAGCAGCAGTGCTAACAGGCTAGTTAGCCAACAGTGGAGCAGCTAACGCTAGCAAGGCTAGCTGTAATCACCCTGCGTTAGCATAGGTAGCTAAGCGGCTACCCTCACCGGAGCTAACACACCGACACCTCTCCAGCACAAATCACCCGGACTCGGTTGCACAGCCGCGGTCAGTATCGGACGGTGACACGGGCCGTCTCTGCCTCCATGTACCCGGACAGCTGTCCGTTTCCTCGCTTTACTTTACGCTCGGTCCGCAGCAGCAGTAGCTTTGCTCTGCTGGAGCTTCGAGCTAACGAGCTGCTCCGAGTGGAAACAGAAGGAAACCTCGGCGGGACCGGCTCGTGCTGGCGGGTTGAATTTTGTTCGGAGCCTTTTACGTGTGGAGAGAAAGAAGTAAAGGAGCCTCACCGCATCAATTTCCCTTCGCTTCGTTAGATCCAAGATGGCTGTGTGTATTCTAAATCGAAACAGGGATAGCCTTTACCCTCTGACCTTACAACCTGCTGACCACTTCCGTACACAGAAAAAGTTATTTAACTCAGCACAGACGTGACAAAGAGAAACACACGGGGCGTTTTCATCACATCTCTAGAAAAAGTAATAATTAGAATAATAATAATAACGATAATGATTATTGTTGTTATTATTGTTATCATCATCATCATCAATCATAGATTTCAATCAAAATGTATTATATAGTCCACAAATCACAGGTTGTGTCATCAGGCTTAACAAGGTGCAACCTCCTCTGTCCTTAAAGGTTCAGTGTGCAGAATTTAGCGACATCTAATGGTGAAGTTGAATGTTGCGGCTGAATACCTGTCACCTCAGACCTCCCCTCCACACATGAAGGAGAACCAGTGGCAGACTTTAGTTCAAATTAAAAAAGTTGTTTAGTTTGTCCAGTCTGCACTATTGTAAAGAACACGGCGGCCTCCGTAGGGAGGGCCCAGTCTAGATGTAAATATAAAGTATTTCAATATAAAGGGCTCATTCTAGGGTCAAGACAACAACAGTTTGTACCATTTAGAGGAAACACACTGGTGAAAACATCATGTGGATGATTTTATATTAAATGTCTTCCAATAGATCCTTTCACTTAAATCTGACACACAGAATATTTAAACGTTTATCAAGAAGAAAAAAAAAAACCTTTCAGTAGGAGAAGCAAACAGAGAAACCTCAGAGAGAGCCACATGTGAGGGATCCCTCCCCCAGGACAGACAGAATGAAGTGCAACGTTTTAAGTGTTTGTGTGTATAAGAAATAGTTTGACAGTGATGAAGGGAGCAATCTAGTTAGAAGTACGGTGGAGTATGGTAGACTCTAATAAAGTGCTATTTAACATCTGAAGTGCATCTGAACACATGAGCACAGTTTACAGCACTGACAATGCACATCATCAACATCGCATAAATTATCCATAATGATGTGACCCAGATACTTTGTTCTCTACATTTAGGGCTTGGCCTGCCTTTAAAAATGAGAGAAAATGAAGCTTCTTCTCTTTCTTAATTTTAAAAATAATGACAAAGCTGGTTTAGTGATGGATTTAGATTTGGTGCTGTATAGACCTTTTTTCACTGCAGACATTTAATCGTTTTAGAAGGAAAAGCGCAGCATATTTAAAAGCATATTTAATGACAGTCCATCATCCATTAATACCTAATGGGACAATCAATTTAAGCTATGCCATATTGTAATCTCTGCCATGGACAGGGTATAGTATGCAGTCACGAGTTTCTCTGCTCTTTGAGGCCCCCAATGCAGTGAGTGGATAAGGAGAGGCACAAGTGCTAAAAACAATCTGTCAGTGAGCGAAAACAGATGGGGGGGGGGGGCAACCATTGCCAATGAGATAAGGAAAATTAAATTCCTCCCCATTGTTATCTGGTTGGAAAATAGCACAAATGAAGGTATGAAGATGACATGGGCAAATCACATCTCTGGCTGGCATGGATGACCTGTGACTTCACAGACAGGAGTCAAACTAGCTAAACTTGAGCTTGAACTTGGATTTGGAGGATTAGAGTGTTTATGGCACTGAGGTCTCGATGCCTCAATGACTCAACATGTCCAAGCCGTTCAAACAGACGTACAATGTGGCACCGACAAAACCCAGATCTTGAGAGCCACACACCCTTGAACACACTTCAATATGCCTCTCATAGTTTTGCCCAGTAACTTAATTTCCCTTCCCTGCAGAAACATTTCAAAATAATGTAATGATTCACTACAACCTAAGTGGGAGTAAAACACACAAGCTCCCTCTTTGTTCTTGCTGTGAACATTGACAAATTCCTGACATTATCCCTCTGTGGGGGCCCACTTGTCTGGCCCGGTGGCACAGATCCAGGACAGCATCCGGGCCGATTAAAACAGAATGTAAATGACCTTTGCTGCTCTTTTATCACAGAGCACTTCTCGAGCTTATCCCTGGCACCCTGCTCCTCCCTGTCTCTCTCTCGCTCTACCACCTCTGTCATCTTGGAGAAGAAGGGGGGGAAAGTCATTAGGCACAAATGGGGAGGAGAGCGCAGCCAGTGGTTGCTATCGCCATGAAAGTCAGGGCAAAGCTCAGAGCCACCAGGAGATAGCGAGGCGAGTGCGCTGGGGAATAACTGTCCAGGGAATGCAATAGGTTTTCAGCCCATTAAGTTGGATAAACAAATGGCTTTCTGTTGGAGATGCTGAGAGTCGTGGAAATCAGCAGGATAACATTGGAAAGTAAGTGTTTTTTCAAACTTGTAATGATCCCCTCCATGCTCATTATGTTGTCTGTTTTCTTTTTGATGACTAATGATGATATTGTCTTAAATAGCTCATCGGTTTGGCTTTTATCACAGGATCATAATCATGTAATTGCTGGTGCATGCAGCTACATGATTCATTATCACACAGATGTATTCAATTGTTATTAACTTTAATTTTTCATGTTTTCAAGGTCAGAACTCCAGAGTGGAGGAGAATTATTTGGACGCCATGAAATTCTCTAAAAGATGCCAACAGCCTGCGTGAGTTCAACCCTTGCCTGGCACTATTTTGGTGTGGAGGACCAGGGGTGGGTCAGGGACAATTTAGGAAGATGGGTAATGTCATGCGAGGTGTCATCGCCTTGATTCCCTCAGAGCGCTGTCAACGCTTCTTAGTGGGGGACCTGAAAGAGATGCCTCTCGATCGGACCCTGGACCTGAGCAGTCGGCAGCTGCGTCGGCTGCCTCTTGCTGCCTGTGTCTTTGATGAGCTGGTGAAGCTTTACCTGAGTGACAACAACCTCAGCACTTTACCTGCTGATCTGCAGGGGCTGAGGAAGCTGCAGCTGCTGGCCCTCGACTTTAACTGCTTCGAAGAGCTCCCAGCAGCTGTCTGCCGACTGCCTCAGCTCAGCATCCTTTACCTAGGTAACAACAGGCTTTACTACCTCCCCAGTGAACTGAGAGCGCTCAAGGAACTCAACACTCTGTGGCTGGAGACTAACTGTTTCACTGTTTTCCCTGAGGTGGTTTGTGAGCTTTCCAATCTCAAGACCCTACACCTCGGGTATAACCAGATACGGAGTTTACCACAAGAACTTGGACAACTGGAAGAGCTAAGAAGCATCTGGCTTGCTGGGAACCAGCTGTCGGAGTTTCCACCAGTGTTGCTGGAAATGCACTTTCTAGCTGTCCTTGATGTGGATCGGAACAAAATACGCCGCTTCCCAGCCCTGTCTCACATGCAGGGGTTAAAACTTGTCATTTACGACCACAACCCCTGTGTTAACGCCCCAGCGGTAGGCGAGGGAGTGAGGAGGGTGGGACGCTGGGCGGATTGCTCAGATGATGAGCAGGAAGAAGATGGGTCAAAAGCAGCCAGTGAGACCACAGCCGAGGTTGTGGAGATACAACCGGAAGAGGAGCACAACATTTAGGGTGAAGGAACAAAATGACCTTCAGCCTTGGTGGCGGCTGCCAGCACAGGATGACATTCAAGTGGAACACTTAGAGCAGAGAGGTGTGTTGTACATCAGGCTGATGGTCTTTGGCCCATATACGGCAAAGCCAGTCATATGTGTTGTAATATGAGACACTGATAGATAAATTGTCCAAAAGCATGGCCTGTGTGACACTTGAACCTTGAAATAAAAATAGGTTATATAAATGTTACTGATACTGATGAAATGTCTCTTATTGGAATTTATAAACCTGTAAATGCCTTCATATGATCGGTGTCAACAGCAGTGACATTGCTATATGAAAGCAGTCTAGATCACCTAGATCTATGTTCCCTGGAAAAACTGTGTCTATTGTGCAATGTTTAAAAAATAGTTCCTGGCTCCACTCTCAGCTCTAGATCTACACCAAAACTTAACCTTTCTCTGACCTACTTCATCCCTCAACTTGGTGGAACCAACAAACAAAAAACATACAGGGATGAAATTGAATAACATTAGATTTTTTTGTTTTTCACAAAGATTCTTACCATTTCATCTACAAATACAAATATAGTAAATAGTAATTCTGGCATTCCTAGTTTTCCATTAATTTGAATATGTAGTTACTTGTTGCTGAGGCTGCAGATCGTATATGGGTTGCCTAGCTTCAGATATCCATGATGCATATATACAATGTAATCATTAAATCAACAACAGTGAGATTGCACCAAACTCAAGGTTTAATTGTGAGTTCATACTTTGTACTGCAGAGACTGAGAAAAGGATTTTCTTGTTCAAGAGTCTGAGATAATATCTGTACCTGCTGAGGCTAAATGTGAGGTTTTTAATACAAGTGATTGATGGTTTGAGTCAATTAGAGCACTCCTTATCCAGACCAATGCATAATTCATCTGACAAATTGGGGCTGTGGCTTTGGATAAAGGCTGCTCCTGGGCCCTAATATCATTGCCATAAGGTTCTGGTTAGAAACAGATCATAAAGGCAGCTCTCTCATGCCGCTATGTACCAGGAAAATGTTCTGTAAACAAGATTAAATATCAATGCACAATTTATCATTTTGCACATTTTGAATCTTTTTCAACAAAAGAGGGAATTAAATTGGCTGCATATCAACTAATTTACTGGAAATGTGATCATTTCAAATTGGTTGCACAAACTGAACTATTGTATTCTCAGCTCACACTCAGCTTAAGGACAATTTTGTTGTTAGTTGGAATGATTTCACAGGTTGAGTGTATAAAGACGTATTTCTCTAAGTCAAAGATAAACCTCTTGATGATGTTATAGCATCTCGCTTTGGCTTGAGTGTCTTGTGTTTCCCTCGATCAACTTTAAGACATTTCTACACATTGAAATATCTGTGTAAATAATAAGTTGAAGGAGCTGGTGCGGAGCTCAGAGACAGGGGCCTTGGCCATTCTGAAATGGTAAAGTGTGGAATGTATAGATATATTAGCATTTATGTACAGTACATGTATTATATATTATCATTTGACAACCTCCACCCCCATGATCCAATTCATACACACATGCTGCCTCTCTTACAACACACACACATTTGAATTCATATTGTATTACCAAGTTTGCTTTTGTCCCCTTTATGAATTTATTGCACAGCAATCACAGGGGCTCCATGGGGAAGAATCACACATGACTGGGTAGGACAAGGGCCACAAGCTATCCAAGGTGTACTGACCAAAGGATGCCTTGACAGCGGTCTCACTTCCAGTCCCTCAACATGAAGCATCTCCAGCAAAACAAGCTGTGAGCAGTGAAGATCAGTGGGTTTGTGGTGGCAGAGACTGGATGTGGAGGCAGAGTGGTTTTTAAGAGGATAGAATCAGGTGCACTGGGTGTGGCACGCTGACTGATCATAGACACAAATAGCAGACTTTCCTGTAAACGTCACTTTTATAAGATAGTGGTTTTTTCTACAGTTATGTAAAAGAGACAGAAAAAGATTTAGTTGAAGTAAAAGTTTATTTGTTTAATTTAGTATCAGTGCATAAATAACACAGACTCATGTAACACCAGAGGCACTGAGCAGAATATTCTGAAAAACAGGAAGCCAAGATGAACAAGTGATAAGTGCTTCATAATAATATCTTTGCTACAAACTCCTAAAACGACACAATTCGAACAACAGTCGTTTCAATTCTCCTTCATGTTCATAAATGATCAATCAACAGACCCATTAACAAACTTCTATTTCTTAAAAGATCCATTTAAAATGTTTGGTTCTTTGATGAAAACACAATAAATACCACTTTCTTACAACATATAACTGCAGAGTATAGACTACTGTAACAGTCTAACACTGCGTAACCCTGACCCCGCAGAACACATAGATCAGATGGAATGAAGACCAACTTTGTAAAAGCGTTAATTCCATCTGTCACGGCAGAGAAAACGGCCTTTAACCGTGACAGAACATCTCTATTTGTGTGATGAAAAATAAGAAAACATACAAACACATTCATTGTATCTGTCAGGCTGAAACATTTGCATGTTCCTAGAAGGTTTTTGAAAACAAAGGAACTTTTTTCTCGGCAAATTTTCCAAATCTAATCAGTCTGAAAGAGTCTCTGAAAAAGAAAACATCACGAGGCATGTGTATGTTTCTCCTCCAAACGGGTGTTAAGTTCTGGATGTCGAATTTCATGTTTAAAATTTTACTTCCAGTGCGCAGCAGCGACATGGAATCAGTAACTGAGAGAGATACTTTCCCACTTTTTTTATGGGAGGATTGTCAGAATGTGTACGACCCTTATTTTTGGCTGAGCGGGAAAATGCCAACTTACCAGAAAAATAAGCAGGTTCATCAGACTTAAAAATGAATCAAGTAATTCCTGCTACAACGTTGGACAAGATGGAGCTGGAATGTAGCACCTCATGCTACGGACACACCCAAAACACAAACATGAGACGACTGTAACATGCTGTTTAGGACAGTCTGTCTCCTCTGAAGACAATTAGCAGAAATGCATTAGCAGAGGTCTAACTTACAATGAGGTTTACTTTTTTAAGACAAGGCAATAAACTGCAGTTTGTAAGCTTAAATGACACAGGTAATATATGTTCTCATGCATCTGTATTTGTGCCAACTGTAACAGGAGGTATATCAGTAGTTCTGCCAAATAACTTATCTGCTGAAGAGTGATGGGACATTATTTAGCATATGATCATACTCTACTGTACTGTAGTTGTGTGCAATGCATGATTCACAGGCTCATCCAGGGTCCAGGTCTTTGTCGGAGTGTTGTCTCGTTCTGTGGCTCAGGCAGCGGGCATCCACCTGACACGTCTTTCTCATCGGGCCCCTCAGAGTCATGAGACCCTTTTTCCTTGGTATCAGGCGCATCAGGCCCGCAGGCATCTGGGATAACTGAGTCCTTCTTTGACGGCTCCACCGCTGCTGTGTCAGTTCCCTGGAAGTCAGACGCTTCATTCACAGGACCAATCACTTTAGGAACATCAAGTTCTTTATTCGAGTTTTCCCGATCCATGCGTTTCCGGGCCTCCTCTCTCCTCTGCTGGATGCGGGTGTTGTCTCCAATCATCACCCGGACCCTCACTTGGTCTGGAGGCCAGATCCCCCCCCATATGAACTGCAAATAGCTGAAGAGCACGATGACACTGAGGAAGGCAAAGTTGGAGGCCACACCGATGACTGCAGATGTCAGGGGGAAGTTGTATAGAATGTAACGTATGCCAGTGAAGTAGGCATGGATCCGGAGCTGAGACGAGTAGATCTGCACTTGTCTGGAGTGGAGCTCGATGATGGCACCTGCAGTGGGTTGATTGGCATTGGTCACGTAGTCCGAGTAGAGCTCCACTTCTATGAGCTGCTTCTGTTCGGCCATCCCGGCCAGGAGTAAGGGTGAGAAGAGGAGAGTGCTCAGGGTCTGCAGCAGGCTGGAGCGGTAATGCAGCATCGTAGATCTCATCACTGAGGAGACAACGCTCCCACTCTTGGTATAGCCAGACATCCGGACCATGAACATCCCCAACTGCTCATTCACCGGAGACTCGGGCATCTCCAGCTCCAGAGACACTCTGTAAGGCTGGCCATACGCCATCACCGGGGCCTTGTTGTTCTTCGTGAAGGAGATGTTGGCCATGGGGAACGAGCAGAGCCTTGGCCCCGAGGCTTCACAATCCGAGGAGTAGCTGAAGTGCACGGGGGTGGAGAAGCTCACGGTGGGCATGTAGGAGTAGTAGAAACTCCCGTAGAGGAAGATGGACACCCAGAGCAGCAGACCCAGGACGCAGAACAGGATGGCGGCTTGAAACAGAGTCCTCCGGGCTTTGAGGAGAGTCACTGCCGCCACATCGTGCAGCCAGTGCAGCGCGGGTCCCATCGCTGCCCCCATCGAGTCTGATACGGAACTCACCGACGTGCTTCTGCTCCCGGTTTGGGCGCTTGTTCCTCCTCCGGCTCCCGCTGACTGCTGCCTCCGAGGTGGGTCTTTATGTTCATACATCAGTGGGTTGTCCTCTTCCAGGAGCACGGGGCTAATCGATTATCCTCACTCCTCCATGTCATGTTTGTTCAACTGCACACTCCAGTGTTAGCTTTGGTGCACCGGCTAGCTACACTTTAAAAACACAAACTGTCCCGGGTTGTTTAGTTTAGTTGTCAGCTCCTCTTGTGCGGATGGAAGGTTTTCTAAGCTCGTTAACAACTTAGCTGCTGTCACCACAGAACCGATGGAACACAAACAAGACACCGTGTTCCTTCTTCTTCTTCCTCCTCGGTAAACATTGTGACCCGGAAGTCGATGCCTTCTTCTTTTTGTGGCAGCTCCGATCATCACCGCTACACCGACGCCAGCGTTGCTCGGGGTGCAGGCCTTCATGCCAGCGATGGGGAAGAAAACTCGCCTCACGGGTGGAACGGTCGGTCGGAGAACGATCCTACAGCTCTCACCCCCGGGGCTCCGCGTTGGCAACACCGGGGAGAGGGATGAGGCAGCCTCGGGATCTGATGGTAAAACAAACCCGCAGCTTTGTTAGCTTCAGGTTAGCTAGCGGCTAAATGCTACAAGTGTGAAGAACGAACACATTCAAAAAAAGATTAATTTTAGCTGTCGGATTTGTTTATACATTGTATATATATAATATATATATATATTGTCAACTAAAATGCGTATTAGCGCAATAAACCAAGTGAGAAACACGTTATATTTGTTCCATTCAGTGGTATCAGCTAATAGCTAGTTTGCTAAGCTAGCGGGTAGCAAGCTAGCAGGTGTTGATGGCTTGCCAAAAAAACAAGCTTATGACAAATAAGTGGGTGAGTTAACTCAAACCGAACTAAGCTAAGCAACGATTCAACACCGGAGCGTTTTATTCGCTCTGTGCAGGAGTGTGAGGACCGTGTGGGTGATCGGCGCTAGCTGCTAACAGTTAGCCAGGTTGTGAACGACCCGTTAGCTCCGTGCAGCTCGACGTTAACTTCGTGGCTGTTGTGATTTGCAGACGAGCAGGAGGGTGACGGACACAGATTCACGAGAGAGAGCCGCACAAACATGAAGGCGCCCACAGTGAAGGCCACAGGTAAAGGAACTGTGTGTGAGTGTGTGAGTGTGTGTGTGAGTGTGTGTGTGTGCACGGTTTATTGTGTGTATTAGTATGTTTTCCAGCATAAACACTGACATTGTCTCATGGGGACCAAAGCTCTGTCTCAATATTTGGGGTCCTTGTTAAGGTTTTGTGATAAAATGTGAATTGTGGTTAAAGGGCTGACAGGCAGTGGTAGAAAGAAAAATACATGCAGTTTGATTGAGCAGAGTTGTTTTGTGTCCACCTGTAGAAGGCTTGTCCCTGCTCGGAGCATATGAGGACAGTGACGATGACGATGCGGGAGACTCTCAACGCTCGACTGCAAATTCTCAACACAACCAGTCAGCTGACATCGACAGCACATTGGCCAATTTCATGGCTGTGAGTATATACTGTTATAGATCTTATTCCCTTGTTTTGAAACAGTGTTTGTGTTGATCTCATGTTATCTTTTAAGAACAATGCTTACAGTATGAGTAGGGCAGTGTTCACAGCAATTATAGAATAGTTGATTGTATTGTTTAGGTTGTAAGCTACTACAATTGTTTGTATGACTGGTTCTACAAAGTGGTGTGGAGGTTTGAAAGATTCAAGATGAGTAACTGGACAAAATGAGTTAGAACAGCAGCAGAGAGTGTGTTATGATTTGAAAGAGGAAGTAGTTATTAGATCTGTTGGCCTTATTCATTTTGAGTAATTATATTTGAGTTGCTGTTTTTAGTACATGTAGATGCAGGTTTTCCTGACTTATAATGGATTCTCTCTTGGTATCTAACTCATGAATACATCATAGTATTTATGTAAAGACTGCTTCTTAGGAAAGTGTTGTTCATTCTTGGGACTCAAAACATTCATTTTGTGTTTTTTTTCACCACAGGAAATCGATGCAATTACCACTCAGCCAAGTTCCGAGGATGCAGCATCTCATCCTTCAGTCCCCACTAACATCCCTCCCAAACCTGAGGCTGATGCTCAGCAGCCATCTGCCAGTGAGGGACAGAGTCAACAAAGCACAGATTTTGAGTACAATACTCAGTTTTCACTAGCTGGAGGTAAATGCATGCGTTGGTTTTGAAATAGAATGTGCAAATGTGTTTTGCAATACTAATTTTCAAGTGTCCTGTATCCTGTTAAAATACACAAACAAAGCAATTGTATAATAATTACTGTTGTCTTAGTATATTGCAGAATTTTGATGACATTATGGCGCCACTCTCCACATTGTTCAGGGTATAGAGATATTGTGCAAAATATATCTTAAAAAAAAAAATCATTTGTATCCTTTTTCAGTGGATGTAGAGATGGGAGACTGGCAGGAGGTATGGGACGATAACTCTGGTTGTCATTACTACTGGAACACTGTGACCAACGAGGTGTCCTGGGAGCTGCCACACTATCTTGCTGATCAGGTGCAAAGCCTTGGGCAGCATGCCAACAGGTAGGATTGACTAATTATCTGAAGCACCATTTTATTTATTCTGTCACCCGTACAGAAATTAAATTGTGTGTTTTCTATATTTCTTTGAAGCTCTAGTGTTAATGGCAACGGTACAGCCCATGGAGGTTATTATACAGAGGAAAACTCTGCATCTGCTGCAGTTTCGACAGCAGTGAAAGAGAGCAAGGTGAAGGTAAGTTTCACTCATGTCAACACAGATATGAATCGCCTTGATTTTGTGGTGTTTCAGGGTTGTAATTTTGAATTTAATATTTAACTCTTATGTGTTGTGCCAAAGGAGGTAATCGAGAGTGTTGTAGGACTCACAAGTGAAGAGGAGGAGCGTCGTGGAGTAGCTGCGTCTCTGCTTGGTCCCCTGATCCCCTCTGAAGTAAAAGAAGCAGAAGAGAAATGGAGAAAAAGGCTGATTAAAGGTTTAGATGACACAGAGAACAGTGTGGATTCTGATGGAGAGGGTGTACGTCCAGCAGGATCCCCAGCTATCCCCCCAGGCGAATCGGACTCTGTTCCCATTCCCCAGAAAGACACTTGTGCCAAGAAGCAGTCGAGAGACAACTCTGATGCTGAGGAGGAGACAGAGGAAGACACAATGGATCTGGAACTGGCTCTAGAGAGGAAAAAGGTTGGGAATTTTTTCAATGAGAATCTTTGATAACTTACTTTTTAGTTGTCTTTTGTGCACAGTACTGAGATTCCAACATGTATGTTAACATCAATCTGGACTTGTTTTAACCTGAGTCGAACCTCTGACTTATAGGCTGAGCTGCGGGCACTGGAGGAGGGTGATGGGAGCACCGGGGCATCCAGTCCATGTTCTGAGACGAGCCAGGAAGCCTCTGGATCTCGTGGTATTCCACTGAAGAAAAACCGGTGGAAGACTGCCTTCCCCTCTGCTCCCAGCCCTGACTCTAACAGCAGAGGCTCAGACCAGCAGGACAACACAGAGACCAGTGAGTTAAAATATTTACACATATGACATTCATGAAAAAACTGGGTAAACAACATAAGAAATCCTGTTAATGTGTCCATCCAGAAATTCCTTCTTATTTGTTTTCCTCTGTTGTGTCCTGTAGCTCTTCCTAAAGTCCTGGAGAATGTTGCAGAAGAAGAAGAAGAAGACGAAGAAAAAAAGGAAACAGACGATTCTGAAGACAAAGTGGTTTCAAAACCTCCGTTAAAAGAAGAATCAGAACCACCGGAGCTCAAAGTGGAAACGCCTGAGCTCAAGGTAACAACAATCTTGTTACTATTACTTAATATAATAATTGTTAAAGTCTCTTCTAATACATTATTTGTATGTTGAAATATATAGTTTCAGATTGGAGAGCTGGCTAACACCTTAACCAGCAAGATGGAGTTCCTGGGGATAAACAAAAAAACTATCTCTAACTTCCAGTTGCTTCTGCTACAAACAGAGGTGAGCGGACAGTTGAGTTTCAAGCTATATTACCTTAGTTTTTAATTGTAGCTGTACTGGTAAAATATTTAATGCTTAATTCTATTTCATATGATTTTTGCACAAAGCCACGTGGTGGCATTTAATATTTAAAATTCCCATAATAATCCATCACAATCTGTTATTCTGGAAACTTACTGTAATTACTTTTCTCTTTTTCTCATCTATCTTTTTGCTCCTCTGTCTTTTCTTTCTATCTCTTTATCCCTTTACCTCTGCTCTCTTGATTCTTATCTCACTCTTGTCTCTTGTCCTTTCTCTGTCCTGTCTCTTTGCTTTTTCCATTTTCTTTCAGACACGAATTGCTGACTGGAGGGAGGGCGCTCTGAATGGTGTCTATCTTCGCCGCAGGCTGCAGGAAGCTGCTGAACACATAAAATTTTACGAACTTAACGCCGCCCCTAAAGGCTGGTCCTGCCACTGGGACAGGTACGCGCTCCTTACCTTTCACATCTCTAAACTCCTTCGTCTCCCAAAAATCTTACCGTGTGACTACACCCCCTCACTGCTGAGGTTGCAGACTTTGTAACATGACTTGGGGAGAAGCTTAACCAGTTCGAGTGGATTAAGATTCTTACCAGAAACAGACTCTTCAGGTTTCTGTGATGCAGTCCTGGCACTCTGCCTTGCACTCACTGATAAGGGAGCATCCACTTCGGGCCAGCCTGCTTCCTGTAAAATATACCAACCACAGACAAGACTCCCCGTCCCATAACAGACTGATAAGCCCTGTGTTGTCAGGGCAGATGTAGACTGATTATCGGACGAGTCAGTGGGAAATTTAGGGGTGGGATGGCGGGTATGGTAGGAAGGTTGGTTTGCGCGGGAGAGCTTTGAACTTTACAGGACTACAACCTCCAGAATGCAATGCAGACAGAGTGACGCCCAGGAAGCGCCGAATGTCACGCATCAATTAAAAGGTGAAGATGGAGCAATGACGGAAATCCAGCAGGTCAGACCAACTCTATTTCATATGTCTTACTGTTTTTTTAATTTTCTGCTTTCTGATGTGAAACGAATTGATTGTGTGCTTGTTATTTTCTGAAATATGCTGGTTGTTGTTGTTGATGACGACGATGATGGTGATGATTATGTTGATGATGATGATTAAGATGATGCTTTCTCCCTGGCGTCTACCTGTGTCTGGGTGGGAATGGTTGTCAAAAAACGAAAAACACCATGGTGACAACCATGGTGTGAGCTGCTGAATGCTACTTTCGGGACCCTAGAGATGATTTGTTTTGCTTTATTTGTCTTTGAGAGCAAGGTGGGTTCCCTGTCCACATCCATAACCGCACTCTAATTGGGCCCTTCCTCTGGACAGCTTAAAGATGCTGTTCATGCCAACACCCCTGCCCTTCACTGTGGCAATAATGTCCATTCCCTTGCCCCACTCTGCCAGGGTATCATGCCAATCAAGACAGTTGTTAGACCAGATTTTGAGACTATTGCCTTCTATCTCTGTTGTCCCACTCTTTAGAGAACACAGGCGGTATTTCTACGTGAAGGACCGGACCGGTGCCTCCCAGTGGGATTTCCCTACAGAGGAGGACAAGGAGGAGGACCTGAAAGGCAGCGAAGGAGCAGAGACGCAGACTTCCAGCCAAGGAGATACGAAAACAGTGTCCGCACCTACTGGGGGGATCACAGGTCAGTAACTTTAAAAAAGAATATATAAATATAATATTCCTGTTTCTCCTATTAATCCTGTTCATGGATACTATTCATTAATTTGCTTTAATAAAGGAATACTAATTCACCCCAGGGTTTTTTTTTTTTTACAGGATCTACTTTTGCTGTTGCCCCACCAGCACCCCCTCAGCCCAGTGCATTCTGGTCCCCCTCCCAACCTCCCCCTCCCGACAGCCCCCCACCTCCACCTTCCAACTACCCCCCGCCTCCGCCTCTCCCCCCAGGCTCACCTCCTCCACCGCCGCCTCCTCCTGACAGTGATGGAGAGATCATGGAGGTGGAGATGGAGATGGATGATGACAATGACGGGGAGCCTCCTGCCCCTGGAACTGAGGAGGACGGCAGTGGGAGGCCTCCTTTACCTCCGGGCACTGCTAGCATAAAGGTGGATATAATACAGGATACTGTACACGACAATTTTACATGTGTTCATTCAGAGCGGGCAGCAGTGTTAAACTTTTATTGCATTTCACAGATTGTGGAGTCATCGGGCGTCTCAGGGAAGGGTCAGAAACGTAAAGCTGGTCAGCTGAATAAAGCCATTATTGGCAGCAGTCCCATTCTCTACACGCAGCCTGTTGTCACTGCAGGTAAACACACTTCACTACATATCTGCACTTATTTGGTTCCTAATTTGATTGTTTGCATTTTTACACATCCACTGCAACAACATTAACACTGAACCTTCCACTCTTAAAGACAGCAGTGTACCAGCTCACTAAGGTAGTGCTTAACGAAGCGGTGCAAATTCAAACAAGCAATAAATCAAATGAAATTAAACCATAGCTCTACGTTTGTCTGCAGCTCCTCTTATGTCAGCCACTGGCTACTGGGGCATGTCGGCTGTCGCAGTCGCTGCCCCCTTGGTTCCATGTGAACCTCCGCTCCCACCAGTCCCAGCCTTACCTCCTCTCCCACCACTGCCACCATCGCAGCCACCTTTTGAGCCTCCAGTGGCCAAAGATCTGTCCACAGACAAGACCAAGAAAGTCAAAAAGGATAAGGTTAGTACTGGAGTTAACATTTTACACAAGAAAGTGAGTTAAATCAAGGCACCCATGTAACCCAATGCTGAAATATCACATTAAAAAGAACCTGCCTTTGACTTATTTTTCTCTGATACACTCGTCCACAGTCGAAGAAGAGTAAGACCAAAATGCCTTCTCTGGTGAAGAAATGGCAGAGCATCCAAAAAGAGTTGGACGAGGAGGAGAAAAGCAGCTCCAGTGACGAGGATAGAGACCAGATGAACAAGAAGAATATCGAGGACTGGAAGCAACAGCAGTTTGTGACGTATGTTACCATCCGATATCTTTTTGAATGGTTCAGAAAAAATTGTTAACCTCTAGTGTGACTGCTTTTTTCTGTCTTACACTAACTGTTGTATTGTTTTAATCTCTTCAGGGGAAAAGCGTCAAAGAACGCCAACTTTGAGGCCCTTCCTGACAACTGGCGGCAGCGACTGAAGAAACGGAAGTTGAATAGCACGTAACATCTAGCCTCGGTTATACATTCTTTTTTGTTTTTTTCCCAAATCCACTCCTACTGGTACCACAAGATCACCCTGACCCCGGTCAAAGTTTCMCTCGGTGGTCTGTGGACTTTTTCTACCATTGTTCTCATTCACATGGAGACATTTAAAGGCTCTTACACGGCCATGATGTTTTTGTTGTTTTTGTAGCCACGTTTGTGCCAAATGTCTCGAGTCCATTGCTTTATTAATACTTCACCACCAAGTCGATGACCACCGCAGTTTAAATGGAGGGATTGTGTATTTTATTGAGCATTTTTACAACTGTGTACATAAACTGTATAATTGGTCAGCTGTTTTTTTTTGTTTTTTTTTGAAGAAAAGTCACTGAACTTGTATATTTTGTAAAAAGTTATTAAACGTTTTTTTCCAAAGTCTTGGCCTTGATTTGTTTCCATCTTAATCCATTTAAAAGAAGTGTTTGATGCTGCTTAATTATTATTTTTTTTAATTCCTGTTATAACATTTGTGCCCCGGTCATGATTTTATCGACCACTTCCTGGTTTGGGGTGGCCACGTCAATGAGACGGCATCGCCATGGTAACCGCAGTGTTGGTGGCACAGCCTGTTGCTTGGTAACATCGTGCGCTTCGACAGAGATTGTTCCTCTTGCGACGGAAGCTTTTAGTTTTTTTTAATCGTGAAGTTTGTTGTCGTCATGTGAAGCGCAGATGTTAAAGTGAGACCGAGGTAAGTGGCTCGGACATTTACCGTGAATCGTTGCAGGAGTCGTGGACATCGCGGTGTTAGGAGATAATGAAGCTAATGATGTTAGCAGCGGGAACACGCTTCCTACACGTTACCAACATGGTGGACTTTCACAAAGTGATTAAAACATCTGGAATGAACAGGAAGTCTGTGCTGCAGGTTGAGCAGAGAGTAGATGTGTGAACTGTGAGCTGAAGTACAGGAGCAGTGTATATGGGAGACCATCAGTCCCAAGAGAAGAAAATTAACTAATTAATGAATTGCATTTTGATGTAAGATGTTTACAGTAAAGTTGAAACCAGAGGATGTATTTATGTGTAAGTATTTTTATTTTGTTAACATTTCCCTTTTAGCCAGAATACAGCTGAAGATGCCTGAGAGAGAATCCTCCCATAACATCTCCCATGTGAGTTTACTTTGTTTTCTTCATCTCTCTGTGACTCAGAAAATATTATTTCAGACTCTTATTTGTTAATGAGAATAATCTCTGTATTATCCCGATACAGGGATCAAGCCATTACTGATGACCTATATTTTCTCCAATCAGGCAGAGAAGACATCCACCATGGCCGTCTCTGCCGTCAGGAGTTGGTGGAACACCTACCAGTTGGACAAGTCCGACACCAATAACTCCAGCACAGAGGAAGATGAGGGGGAGTTGGCAGAGAGGAGGCAGTGTAAGCTGCATTATCCAACATGTCTCACTGGTTCTAAAATGGGAGTGCAACAATGTTTATGTATCATTTAGCTGTGATAATGAGTTCCTGTGTTGGAGAGGAGAGCTCGTCCTTAATTCTGCATCATTTTTTATTAAACAAGAGCAAGATCATCACAGCAATCGATGAAAAATGCAGATCCCGAGTAGAAGGAAATGAGCTTGAAAGAACAGATACTGAATGTGTGGTTCATGTTCTCACCCAGTGTCCACAAACCTCAAAAAGACGCTGCGGACGAGGCAGCTGCTCATAGATTTTGATGGTGGCAGACCGGTTTTGAGTCTTAGGGCCCCGCAGGACCTGGTGAACTTTCCATCAATCTCCCGCCCCCAGTGGCCCATAGAGTGTGAGGTCATCAGCGACATTATCAATCACATAGGTAAGTTTGGATATTGTTCAAACCTTTAAAATCAGCTGGTATAAATGCTAATCAATGGTGTTAATCTGCCCAAGCAAAGGTTTCGGGAGGAGACGTGATTCGCAGAAAATATCAATTCTTTAGTTGTGCAATGACACAGAGAGAGTTTATTTTGCAGAGTGGGATCCACCAGAGCCAGAGGCCTTTTATCAGCCCACAGGACATGAGAGGACACCGATGCTTGTTGGAGAAGAAAGAGGGAAAGTGGTTTACTGCATTGACGAAGGTAACATTTAACCAAAGACTATTTTAATTTAAAGAGATCTTACTCCATAAACTTATATTTTAGTGCACAACTAAACAACTCTAACTCAAGGTGTGGATTCTAAGATATTGTATTAGTCTCAGATACGGGGAAATTTGCCCTGTTTCAGCAACGTAGGGGAAGAATTATTATTGGAAAAAGTAATAATAACAAACAAACAAAGATATAAAGTGRTTCACAAATAAAACTATAATATAAAATACAACATACATACAATACACAAACAATCATAAAATAATAAAAACTTGAAATTTATGACAGAATTTTAAGCATGACCACAATTAACAGCCCGAAGGATCTCAAGGTTTGAGCAGGGTTGTCTAGGGATATAAGATCCATGATATACTGAGGAGTGAGACCATCAAGTGCCTTGTAAGCAATTAAAAGAAATCCATTATAAAATGTACTGGAACCTGAAAGCAGAGTGATGTGGTCCAACTTGTTTACCCTGGCACCATCCAGGCATGAGACATATTGATTAGTAATAATAAATGGATGAACATGCAACATAAATACAAGAAAATAGAAACATTATATTCAACAGACTAAATACAATGTCAACAGGATTGTACACATAAGATATTGATATAGATGATTTTAAAAAATCTGAGTGAGTTAGAGATTTATGAGATTTCATATTAATGTCACCACCCTCACACGTGAGTCCTGCTTTTCAATGAATATACATCATCATTATTATACCACTGCTCCATTACAAATGCTAAGAACTGTCTTTATGATACTGACTTTTTTCTGCTCTCTCCTTGAAGCCACTAAACGTCTCTATTTCACCTGCTCCCGTGTGGGAGGGAGCAGGGGGCCCATCAAGAGTGCCACCTCTTGTGACGTCAATCAAACAGACTTCACCCTGGAGTTTGAGTCACGCTTTGAGAGCGGGAACCTCCAGAAAGCTGTGCAAGTGTGAGTCTCTACAGTATAATCCACCAGGCATTATATGTTTCCCCATCACCTTTAAGTCAAGTTACTCTCCCTCTGTTTCCAGGGGGGTGAATGAGTATGAGCTCACCCTGCGCACAGACATGTACACGAGGAAGCACACGCAGTGGTTCTACTTCAGGGTCAGGAACATGGAGGCTGGAGTCACCTACCGCTTCACTATTGTCAACTTGATGAAAAGCAGCAGCCTGTATTCTCACGGTATGAGACCACTCCTCTACTCTGAGAGGGCGGCCAAGGAGGAAGGTGTTGGATGGCACCGCACCGGCTCCAACATCAGATACTATCGAAACTGCAATCAGGTCAGTGAACTGTCCGACTCTTTAGGAGTCTGTTTCAAAAATTACAGTCATAGAAGCAGCAACTGTCTTGAAAACCAGTGTCTGTGTCTCCCTGTAGAATACAAAGGACAACAACAGCAACATCATCGTCCTTTACTCACTTACCTGGACTCTCCGGTTCCCTTATGACTCAGACACCTGCTACCTGGCCCACTGCTACCCCTACACCTACTCACACCTGCAGCGCTACCTTCAGCATGCTTCCTCCAAGCCAGCAGTCTCCTCGTACTGTAAATTGCGGGTGCTGTGCCACAGCCTCGCTGGGAACGCTGTGTACGTGGTGAACATAACATCCCAAGGAGTTGGAAAGGTGAAGGGCAGGTCCAAGAAGGCTGTGGTGGTGACAGCCCGAGTGCACCCCGGAGAAACCAACGGGTCCTGGATGATGGAGGGGTTGCTGGACTTTCTGCTCGGGGACTCTGCAGACGCTCAGCTGCTCAGGGACACCTTTGTTTTTAAGGTGAGGGACTTCAAACTTGTGTTTCACGTCCGAATGATTATCACAATTATTTCTCCAATACATTCTAATTTGTTGAATGTCTTTATAGCAGTTTAGAAATGACACGCTGATGGGTGGTGCAATGCTATCAAAGACAGTTCTGTGTGATGTGCTGCAGGTGGTGCCGATGCTGAACCCTGATGGTGTGGTGGTGGGGAATTACCGCTGCTCTCTGGCCGGCAGGGACCTCAACAGAAACTACAAGACACTGCTCAGGGATTCTTTTCCCTGTGTGTGGCACACCCGCAACATGGTGGAGAGGTGAAGACATGACAAAAATAAAAACATGAAATAAATGAAGCTACTACTATGAGAGAAAAAGACCTAACTTAATAAACAAGATATAAAGTTAATGTCTTCTTACAATAAGCACAGATTGTGTTTCGAACCTAACTCCAAAATGAACTTCCAGGTAGAGAGCAGCTCACCTTTGGAATTACTTGAAAACAAAAATGCTTTAATTATTTCCATAATACTCATATTATTTATAGCATAAAAGTGGGATGGTACTATTCATAACAGGAAAGGCAAACTAGAAAAATGTTTGGATGATAGTGTGAAGCAGGGATGCAACATTTTTTCCAGACTTTGAAGTAGCTTCACAAACATGGAACATACTTTATTTGCCTGCTCTGTATTATCCTCCTACATTTTGCCAATTTGGTAAATTCACAACAGACCTCAATCAACTCTGCACAGAATTCTTCATTCTGCTCTTTGTTGTGTTGTATTTCCTCCAGGTTAATGGCAGAGACAGATGTAGCTCTTTACTGTGACTTTCATGGACACAACCGCAAAAACAATGTCTTCATGTACGGCTGCAACAACCGAGGTGATGGTTCTCTGAAGCTTCACGAAAGAGTTTTTCCTCTAATGATGAGCAAGAACGCCAGTAACAAGGTAGAGTCACTGGTTTTGAAAAACCTGTAAAAACCTTTAATATATTTAAACTGTGAAACAAACAAATCATCTTTTGCACTTATGGTCCTATTTTATTGATCTTACAAAGTCCTCGTCATCAGGACGTAACCCATTCTACAGTTACAACCCATCACCACTCTTACAATATATAAACTATGTTTCAGAGGCAGCGTCTTTTCTTTGGTATTCATTTGTGTATTGTCAGATTTCAGCTACAACCTCTAAACTACACTGGCTTCCTCTCAGTTCTCCTTCAAGAGCTGTAAATTCAAGGTGCAGAGGAGCAAAGAGGGAACAGGACGAATCGCCATGTGGAGACTTGGCATCAGAAACAGCTACACTATGGAGGCCACGTTTGGAGGCTCCACTCTGGGTGAGTTCAGATTTTCTAAATGTGAGTTTTTAGGTTGAGTAATTTAAACTTGTTCGCCTGATGCATGAGGAGCCGCCGTCTGTCTGATGGTTAGGTGACAGGAGAGGGACACATTTTACAACACGAGACCTGAAGTCCCTGGGCTTTTATTTTTGTGACACCCTGCTGGACTTCTGTGACCCTGACCCAACGAAGGTGAGAGGAAAAAAAACAGGCTTTTATTTGTATGAAGAAATCTAGACTCCTTCCATTGTTAAAGCATGGAAATGTACCAGGATCCTGATTTTTAAAGCTTCTATTTTGTGACTTTGATATTGAAACGGTTCATTTTGCATCTGCAACTGGTTTTTATATTTGCGTTTATTATTTCAGACCATGTACTGTCTGACGGAGCTGGCAGCGTTGTTGAGAAAGCAGGTCAGAGAGAGGCTGGGCAAAGATTTAGGCACAGATTGTAACATCTCTGTGTCTGACCTAGAAACCAGGTGATATATTATTTATCATTAGTATTATTTTTGATATTATTATGGATACCTGGCTGATATGTGTAGATGTTAATATTTTCTGTTTTCTTTTACAGCACCAGTGGATCAAACAGTTCAGATTCAGACGGACTCCCAGTTCATTTACTGAACCAGCCACAAACTGTCCATCCAGAGGTATAATGACGTAACAGAAATCTGTGTTTACACACTTTCTTTCTATGGTACATTTCACATCTGGATCATTTTGCTTCCTCAGTTTCCCACAAACTGTTGCTCTCGTCCACAGCAAACTCCCGTGAAGAAGAAGAAACATTTAAGGAGTCGTAAAGAGAGGAACAGACAGCGACCAGACAGAGCGAAGAACGATACACAGCCACAGGTCATCAAAAATACTGTAAGAGACGAAAAGGTCCATTCATGAAATCACCCCCCCTGGCTGTAATGTAGACTGATCAGTGAACGGTCTTTGCAGGAGTCAGTTCTGCCTCACGGGGCCACAGTTAAAGAGAGCGTCACAGAGAGGCCTGTCGGACGACACCGGAGAAAATGGCTGGTATGAAGCAGAGAGATGGTTTCTGAGACAGAGCAACAACAACAAGTCATTTCCTGAGATGTTTCTGTTTATGTCTTTTTCTTTGTGAAGGTGAACAGTGTGATGAAAAAAGCTGTGATGCCTCCTCCCAACACTGGAGAGGTCAGTCAGGTGACTCTGTGGCAGGGCTGCGAACCTGTCAAGGTAAATATGACCCTGATGTAAAATCATCAAACTGATCACTAACACATTATCGCTCACACACCCAGTTTAACAAAGGTTTTAATTGATACAAGGAGAAACTTTAAGAAACTGAACTCACTGGAGTTTTAACTTTTTTTCTTCTTTTCCGTGCTTTAGGACGATGGTCTGCAAAACACGAGGGCTGCACAGTCACATCACAGGGCAAAGGCGTGTCCTCATCTCAGCACATACACAGCAGCATCACCTCACACAGGTAACCTTCACTTTAGAGGTTCAGCCTCCCAAAGTCAGCGGGTTTACATTGGCTATTTCAATGTCCTTTTAGTCCTGTCCATAGGAACTTCAGCCCTGCACTCAAAACAATACAAAAAGAGCAGGAATTAAAAAGATTCTGCTGGATTAAAACAAAAATCATGGTTATTTTCCAAGATATTATCACATCATCTGAAAAGGTCTTTGTGCAGCAGGGCACATATAGTTTGCTCTGTTTTCACAGATGACCTTGGGATGGATACAGGACGGTGGCGATGCTCCTCTCAGCTGTTGCACCTGAGCGCGTTGATACCTTCACCGAATCTCGCTCATCTCAACCGGCGACAGCATCACTACCCTCGACAATCCTTTGTGTCCTACAAAGTCTACAGAGGTTTGTCTACACTTGCACTTCAGCTCCAGATGGAACAAAGTTTCTTCATCAGTTGACACGACTGCTGGATTAAAACCTGTCTCCACTTTTCAGGGCTGCTGCCGTCCCTAAAAACAGCACACAGGTAAACCTCAATGGGTAGAATCTTATCAGACAGACACTAGATAACTCCTTGTTGAGACGTGATCAGATTCAAGTGTTGTGTCTGTTGCAGGTCTCCCTCATCAACATGCGTCAAGATGGTTCCAGATATGAGTCCAACAAAGCGCCTGCTGTCAAGTCTCACCAATGACAACAGACGGTTTGTTTATGGAGCCAGAAGTTCTTTACGTGTTTCAGAAAGTTCCTCTGTGCTGGAGGATTCCTTCAGCTCTCACACAGATGTGACTACGATCAAACGGCAGAACGAGGAACAGGAAGATGACCCCCCACCAGGTGGTGTTTTTGATATGCTCTGATATTTTACTGTTATAGTTTATACAGATTGGTTTTTTTGAGGATACTGTTTGATAAATGTATCACAAACTTCACTCTGACCTCTTCTCTACTTGTCATTCATTCAGTGGGGTTGTCTCTGCGGACATGTGAACCATTTGCAGAGCAGAACCAGAGCGTTAAGAGCCCTGACGTCCCGCTGAGAGAAACTGAATCACACAGCAGTTTATTTGGGTCTGTGATGAGAACCACAGACCTGAGAGGGAAAAGGTAAATTTGTTTTGATCCCCTCGAGTACTCTCTCTTCCTCTTCTTCTCTCCTTGTCTCTTAAATATTTAGGTTAAACTTAACATTTCAAAGTTTGTGACTTACATGTATGATAATGTTAGACACTGTCTTTTGGAATGAATGTTAGAACTAGTTAATTTGTTGATGTGCACTTCTGTTCTTCCTGGGAGAGGGGGGGTCCCTCACTCGTGCCTTTCGCTCTGGTTTCTATGTTTTATCCCTTTTTAAAATGTTTTTCTTTTTTCAATTTCCTCAGACTGTGTAAAGATGCTCAGGAGAACAAAGGGCAGTTGGATGTTTTACCACCAGTGTCAAAGCCGTCAGACTTTATGAAGATGAAACATCCACAGAGTGACACACTCAGTCGGCTGAGGGCTGAGGGCATCAGACACCGTCACACTGAAAGAAAAAGTACAGCTCCACAAGAGGCGATGGTCTCCATCACCAGACCATCACAGTCTGCACCACTGTAGGATGCTCTATTCTAAAATCTGAGAACTACAGATTCAGTTATCTATTAAATCCACAAAGGAGATTGTTTTAATCTGCAAGTGTTTGTTTTTAAACAGGAATAAGCAAAACCACAGGACAGATTTCCACAAAACTTTGTGGAGGGATGTGGTATAAGTAAAATTCTAGTGCAGATCAGCGGTTCCTGGATATTTGTTTTCTACTTTCTTTAACATTGCGAGATTTTTTTGACATTTTCACGGACAATCCAACGTCAGTCTCTGTTTGGTATTTAACTATACCTGTATTAGACTTTGATAAAAGTGAAATTAACACTATAAATGTATTTTTTGGATATTGATAAGGACAATGTTTACTGATGACAAACATTACATTGCCTAATAAATGATGCACAGGTGACACGTGAATTTTATTTATTGTAACCCTACAAAAACAACACAATCCCGTGAAATATAATGTGAGTAAAATATAAAAATAAATATGGTACAAAAGTTTTTCTCTTTAGCAATCACTTGTGCTCAGCAAGTGTCCCATATAAAATGTCATTTAAAAAAAGTGAAGCATCAGTTTTGTTAGACCTTGAGTATCAGAGGAGTTGAAATGTCCGGGTGTGTCCAGATGTGGCAGAGACATCAGAGCTTCAGGAATCAGTCAAACTGTCTGAGGTGAAATTGGCTTTCTGTGTGTTTAACCATGTCCCGCAGCGCCAGGAAACCAGAGAGGGCCTGGATCATTCAGGGATAAAAACAAATGAAGATTAAATAATAACAGCCTCTATATACTGTACATTGCTCACATTTTTTTTTAGAAATGTAATCATACCTGTGAGAGTACAAATATAGCAAGAACGATGTGAACTCCTCTCTCCAGGGGCTGTATGAGAATGGCCTCATTAAAGAGCTGAAACAGGATGAGAGGAGACTGCAGCAGGAGGCTCAGCAGCCAAAATCCAGCCAACTCTGGGACCTTCCACAAACACAAGCATGAATCACACTCCTTGTATCCACCGGTGGTGTGTCAACATCAACTTTACAGTATTTCTTTAAGTTTGCTTGATGCGCCACCTTTTCTTGCAGGTTCCCAACATAACCCAGATAAAGTCGAATGGCCTCGATCAGAGTCATCAGGATGAGAACGGTCACGAGGATGAACTTGTAGTAGTCTGGCAAGGCAGGATACTGGAAGGGAGGACAATCACAGCAATGCAGTTTTAATCAAGTGAGTTAGTAAAAAGTAACACCTGTGTAGTAGGAGTCAGGTTGAGCTATTTAGATTTGAATACTAAGGATTTAAATTAAGTTTCTAGTGACATACAGCAAAGTTTACTTTTAGTTGAAGTAACTTTTAGTAGAGGATCAGCCACAGTGGTCACATGATGTGGTCTGACTATTTTACTGTTATTATTGCTATTCAACTTCAAATACATTAACAAGAAAGACATGTCATAAACAAAATGATACATAAAACAATTCGTCAATCAGAATGTAAAGTACATATTTACTCCTTAAGAAATTGTGCTTAGAAATTGTGCAACTTTGCATTTCACATTATTTTGTATAGTGTTGGA